TTTTTGATGGAGTAGATTTGAATGGTTATGTGGGTTGAGGAAATTTGTTGTATGAACACTATTTGAGAATTTTGATTTCAGCATTTGTAAATTGTAATAGAGAAGATGAAATTATTTTTGGACCTCGAGATGATTTATAACTTGGTGTTGGTGATCATGCATTTTAAAAAGAGGTTCTTCATTAATTTTTTTTTGGATAACCGTGGATGTTCGGGTCAGCTTGCGCGCACCTCAACTAATCCTACGGGGCCCTGAAGTTTACGATCGGGTACTCATCTCAGCGGTCCTGAGGGGATTCGAACAGGTGACTATTGGGGAGCAAACCCAAAGCCCGACCAAGTGAGTAACCCCTTAAGGTTAAAAAGGTTCTTCATTAATAACATTTGGAAGTTGGTAAAAGTTCTTGTTAAAATGATCATCTAGTTTTATTTGGAATAAGACTTAGCTTCTTCTTGTTGTAATTATCAAAAATTTCTTTAGGCAAAATATATTTTGCCTAAATGAACTGACTTTGAATTAATGACTGAAATCTTGGTAGCATCATCACGATCACATACTATTGTTACAAATACATCATGCTTATTATGCCATTTTTTGTGTTTGTGAAGAGAGGTTTGGTTGCTAACATTTTCTGTAAAATAGGATGATGTCACGAGGTTCCATATATTTATGCGTCTGGCACTTGTGTTCTATCTTCTATTTGGTTATGTTCTTTTCCTGTTTATATTTTTGGCAAATAGAAAGTCTTAAAAGCTAGAGATCTTGTAGATGGCAGATAATGAGAAGCAGGAGGAAACTGCTCCTAGAGGAAATGAGTGGGAAGTTGTATCACTCACTGCATCAGCATATGCTGCTGCTCCTCATCCTGAACAGGTTGTCTCGAGCAATGATAACCTTGATAATTTAAGTGGAGAGAATGAGGCAGAAACGTCTCGTGCTATGTTTATGTCCGGTCATTTCGTTTTTCCTCCAAGTCAGCATGAGAACTTGCCATTGGAATCTGAGAATAATGAGGTACTGCAGGAAAAGGGAGGTGAAGATGATGGTCCCAAGTCAATTGCAATGGAAGGGGGTAAATCCAATGCAGAGGATAAAGAAAATACGAGTATCAGAGGACTGATGGCTGATGAATTTCCTGGAAATCAAGTTTTTGATGACAAGGGTAACAGGTTACCAGTCAATGGTTCAGACTTGGAAAACTATATGGCCTCTGACGAATTGCAGAGCATTTACAACCCCACAGAATTTAGTTTGCTCCACAGTGAAGCAACCATGGGCAGGTCTACCACTGTTGAGGAGGACTTGGGGACTGACGACGTGATCCAACCTTTCGATCATTCCTTGGATTCAGATGAAAACAGGGCTGACCTTCCTTGCGAAGCTTGGTGGAAAAGGCGGGCTGTTTCTTTATATGCCCATGCAAAAGAAACGAATGCAGTTTGGTCTATTTTCATTGCTGCAGCTGTCATGGGACTTGTAATTCTTGGTAACAGGTGGCAAGTTCTGTGCCTCAAGTGGCAATTTAGCATCAATGATGAGGTATAAACATTTAATATTTTAAAAATTCTTGATTATTTTAAATGCTATGGTATCAGTTGTTGATAGTTTGACACATTTTTATTACTTTATTGCATCCTAGTTTCCGTAAATTGATAGTTGTTTCTGTTTATTTCAGATGACATTTCCATCCAGAAAATCAGACTACCTACTACCATGATTTAACTGTAGATGCTTTATTTTATGTGCAGTTCTAGAAGCACTGGTATTTTTATTTTATTATTATTATTTGTAGAATTACAAGAGAGACAATTCAAGTTTAACCTTATGGATGTGTACCAACTCTAGTCTTGATAAGGTACCCTAGTTTTTTGAGGATGGTGGCCTATCCATCTTGGATTAATTTCCCATCAGGCCTCGGTCATGTTTTGGGGACCTTGTTGTCCCTGCTCCTGTGGTGGGAAAAAGAGAGAACAAAAAAAGAGAAATTATAAACAATCAGAAGCACAAATGTTTCTAATTCTTAGTGAAGACCCACTTTGGTCCTAAGTCTCTAGTATATGATTTTGCTTTCACATTGCCATAGCTCTTCAGAATACTAGAAAAGGAAAAAGAAAAGAAAAAAAAGAAAGAAAAAGGTCCTTGCTTTTGCAAAGACGTTTTTAGTTTCTCATATGTTGATTCATCATGTACTGCTCTTGACCTTGTATAATACAACATTGTTTTTTATTATCCATGTAGCTTGATAAATTTTTATTTTATTTTTAAGCACTATAGGTTATAATCATGTCTGAGTTCTCGTATGCTCGCGTGTCAGTGCATATTCAAAATGCATCAGCATTTGGATAGGAAGAAGAACAGTGAATTAACATAACTAGCCTGCTGACCTTATGCTGATGAGACATAGGTCCACCAACTCGTGCATATTTGCTTGCAATATGTTTTAATTTACATGAATTAGAAACCACTCACAAGCTTTACGGTTTTCACCCTAGTATTGTGTAAAAGTTAAATAACCGGACATAATTTTGTTATATATGGTCTTTCGAATTCTAATATTGTTAGACAGCATTAATGGTTGAATTTTTTTTTTTTTTTTCAAGGTTTTAGTTATTTGCATTTGTTGACTTGATATTGTGTGTCTACAGAGGATGGGTAGGATGCTTGGTCCCTTATCTCGGTTTAAAGATATGATTGTTGGAGGCCAGCGACCAGGATCACTTATCCGCAGGAGCTCCCTAGCAGAACGTTAAGATGATGACGAAAAGCTTGAGAGGACAACAGAGTTTGTTGTATGTGATATTCTAAGTTTTATTTGGACTAAGCATGTTTACATTTGCTTATTGTATGCTAATGTGACAAAGAAATTGTGCAAAGCAATCTTATTTTCCTTTACGATCCATTATCTTATCTGAACTGTGAATTCCTGTTCGTATGGGTTTTAGTCATTAAAGATGGTACATTATTAGTCATTTGAAGAAGAAACACACATTTTATTAATTTACCAAAAGTTTTATTTTTGTTACAGAATTTATATTTTTTATTTATTGCAAAATTATTTTAGAATTAGTTTATTATGCTCATTCTTTAAATTGCTTAAATAAAAGGATCTAGAGTATGTTTAATTATTTGTTATTGAATAATCAATTGATTTTCTTCAATTATTTATCTGATTTGCGATATTCTATTCCATTAATCAGTTTAGTTATTCTTGTAAATCATCAAAAAATCAGAAGATGATTCTTATTTATTTTCATCTTTTTCATACACGCTGACGCTGCCTTCCCGAAAATTATAATATATCTCTAGCATACAACCAATCTGGGTGCAATATCAATAATATCTTGTTAATCAGGAATTCTCAAGGACAACAGTTTCATGATCTTGATCACTTAAGTAAATTGTAATTAATCAATTTTTGGTAAAAATGGTATAATTAATTTTGAGATCTTTAGTACAAAAATTGAATAATATCACATACTCTATATAACTCGACTTTAATAATAATTAGTCAGAGTTGAACGTACATTGTATGTTATTCTGAAATATTTTATAAGCGTTGTATAAGTAATATTTGATATTAATTTGTTGGCAGGATTTGATAAGTTTCAAACGAATTTAAGAAAATAAAATTTAGGATAGAAATTAAAAAAAAAAAAATTGTACTTTCAAAACTCAACTTCTATTATTTAAATTTTCTGTGATGATGAAATATTACAAATGAGTAACATTTTTATACTACATTTGATACATAAAAATTAATTGTTAATACATGAATTTAAACACATATTACAATTTCTCGATATATGAATAGAAATAAATTCATTTATAATAATTTTGGATTTATCAAATCAATATTCATTGAATCTGAATTAATATAAATGTTAATTAATCGAGAATTAATAACACGAAATTCATACATGGCAAGAATTTTGTTGTATTTATTGCATAGTTCTACATTTTCTTTCTTCTCTATTTAGTCGATTATGTCGTCACTTTTTCTTTTTCTTTTTTGAGTAAAATAAAGTTACGAGTTATCTTTATTTTACATTCTATCTTTATTGCCCTTGTTCGGTCCCTTTTTAATTTTTTTTTTCAAATTCATTTTTCCACACATATATAGGACTAATAATTTTTATCAACCTTTTAACCATATATTTCATTATTTTTTATCAGAATTTTTTAATTTTTTTTTTCAAATTCATTTTTCCACACATATATAGGACTAATAATTTTTATCAACCTTTTAACCATATATTTCATTATTTTTTATCAGAATTTTCTAAAAATTTAATTTTTTAGCTAAAATTTATCAAAATTAAAATAGTAGGTAAAAAACAAAAATTTCAATAGGAGAATAACCAAAGTTAACGACCACAAACGACAGCTTACCTGTTCGGGTCCACTTCCTATACTGTCTTTATCATTCAATTTCGTCGGATTTCAAGTATTGTCGCACGTCTTGTGTCAGCGGCCATTTCAAGTGGGATGCGATTTTAGTTCTACATTGAAACGGATTTTAAACGTATTACTCTTCGATTATCACATAAACCCTGAAACTTGATTGATCTGTGTGTGTATAATACGTACCGAAGTTCATCCCTTTTTTTTTTGTACCGAAGTTCTTCTTCTCCATTATGATATCTACACTTCCCATTTTACTTGAAGAATAAGAAATTCTTGAGAATATCACTTCCTCAGAATCCATTAGCATTTAATTGCTAATTTTTTTTACTTGTTTTTCCATTAGATCTCTTCCGAAAATGCCATCTTCCCCCAAACTCTTTCATGCGCGTCAATCTTCCTCCAGCCGCAGATCAACAGTCCTGATCCTCTGTTTCCTCATCGGCATCTCGGGTTTTATCTTCGGGTTTATTGTGATTTCGCAGCAGGTTTTGGGGTATAGATGTAAGTACGCTAAGCCAAACTCGATGTCTGTGACTTGGGATAGGTTTGCTAGTAGTATTGACAGCGGTAATGAGGGGCAAAACAGGTATAAAGTGATGGGTTTTGTTGGTATTCAAACCGGCTTCGGATCCGCCGGCCGACGGCGGTCGTTGCGCAAGTCTTGGTTTCCGTCTGATCATCAAGGGCTTCAACGGTAATCAGATAATGTGTTCCCCATTTTTGGCTGTACAGTTCCACTTCTTATATATATTTGTGTATGTACACACATAGATAGAACAAAAGAAAGATTGCTGACTGTAATGTGATGCTTTATTGGGATGGTCTGAAGAACATTTTTTTCCCATTTTTTGGTGGCATATTTAGGATTGTTTTCCTAGTTGCTTGGAAGGTTTGGCTAACTTTTTGAGGACAATAATGTTTCTTCACTGATGACAATCTTAATTTGTCTTATTATATGAATCAGGAATGGTTGTTTTCAATTGGACAGGAAATGTAGATTAAGAGATTCTGATTCTTTTTCTTTCCAAGATTACTGTACAACTCTGTTGTGTACCTTTCTTGAATTAAGCTAGGAAATTATGGGGTAATATTGAGAATTAAGTGGAAATAATTGTCAGATTCAAAGTGCTGATGTATGCATGGGATTAGATTTGGGATTGAGTGACTAGAATTAAGGAGCTTTTATGGGTTGTTCCTGTATTTAAGAAACGTCTGCTGTGGTGTAGAGCATCCAACTATTCTATAATTCATTTTCAGAAATAAAATTATCACATGAAACTCTTAGCTGTAGTAGAAAGATTTTTTAGGTGAAAAAGGCATGTGCTCATTATGGCTTTGTACCTGACTTATGTCGGAAACTGCTTGAAAATACTTTGCCACAGCATTGAGATGTCTTTCATTTTATTTTTTTTTAAAATTAATTTTACTTCTGTTAATTTTTATTTTTTACTTGAAATGGGATGGTAGGTTGGAAGAATCCACGGGTTTGGCTTTTAGATTTGTAATTGGCAGAACAGATGATAAATCAAAGATGTCAAACCTTAGGAAGGAGATAGCAGAATATGATGATTTCTTGCTATTAGATATTGAAGAGGAGTACAGCAAACTTCCATACAAAACGTTAGTGCTTTACTTAAGATTCCTTGATTTTAAGCACCTGTTGTTTGTGTTTATAACTTACTTGGTTTCTTTTACAGTTTAGCTTTCTTCAAAGCTGCCTATGCACTTTTTGATTCAGATTTCTATGTAAAAGCTGATGATGATGTATATTTACGACCAGGTGGGTAGTTGTGGGAAGTTTATTTTGACTTATGTTTGCACCTACTTCAGTTTCACTTGATTAAATTTTGACTTGCTCTTAAACTATGATGCACGGACACTCCTACTGCTGTGACGTGACGTGTCGCGTCGTGTCGGTCACAGACACTCCAATACATGTACTATATGTATATTTCCTTCTTGGCAGTATAATATATAGTTTAACTTGAAGTTGTTTTAATATGATAAATAGCTACTTATCCGAGTTCAATGCTTTCACTAACAAAAATCAAAATTAAGAGAATAATTGATTTTATTAGAAGATAAACAATATAAACACAAAGATAGAATATACAAATCTATAAATAATTTAAATTAACATATTCCGACGTCTGTGTTCTGCACTTTTGACAAATCACGTGTCAACATGTCCTTGTCGCATTTTCATATTTGCACAATAATAGCTTTTAGTTTTTACATGTTTTTACCAAATTTCTTCTGTCAGATCGCCTTTCTTTGCTTCTGGCTAAAGACCGACATCACTCGCAAACATACCTTGGATGCATGAAAAAGGGTCCAGTTTTCACTGACCCGAAGTTGAAATGGTTAGTGCTATAATATTTTTCCTCGTGCTGATATGTTTTCGTCTTTTAATCTTGCTTCCAGATTTGAAACTTGCTCCATTTTTTATTGGTTCTCTTAGTGATTATTATTTTAAGTTGTCCACTGAGTGTAGCATGGTATTATGAACAAAGGCACAACAAATGTAGTTAGTTAATTTGCAGAAGGATGAAGCAAGACTTAGCCTGCTCATATTTATTTCAGCTTACATTGCACTTACACGACCATTGAAAGCCATTATCATCATTTTTCTATATTGAAAAATTATTTGTTATGGATAGATAGGTTAACCATTTGTAAATTTGATGACCAAACCATCGAATAAGTCGAAGTTTATCCACCACATTTTGTCGTGGGACTTCAACCTTAGTAGTTGAGCTGTTAGTACGTAAAACCTGTGGCAAAATTTGAAAATTATATTATATCACACACTCGTGTGCTTCATTCAAGGGCCTTACTGTTTACTTAATTTTTGAAAGAAGTCTAAATATCGACTGTCCATTGTTTTTGTCATGTTATCTTGTGATATGTGCCATTTAAGTGATGAAACCTTTTCTCTTCCAAGTTTAATCTTGTCACAATGAGTTATGAATATTTCACATCATGGAAATTTTCTCCTTTGGTTTCTTCCAAACTTACTTTTGGGCTCAAGGGTAATTGATGATATTGGGACCAAAAGGCTGAATGGATTGTGAAGTTGATGGAAAGTTCACCAAAATGATTTCTTCCTCTTAAATTACCTCTCTCTCCCTCATACCCCCAGTGGACACAAACTAAATAAGTAAAAAATGTAAAATAGAACTTTATGAAATCCTCATTTATGGAATCCATGCAATTCCAAAATGAGAACTGCTGCAGGAATGTGTGTTTATACACACTTCCCATGCACAGATAAAAATCGAAACACCGAAAACAAATAAATGTATAATTGAAGTGCGGACAAGAAAGGAAAGTGATTACCTATATGATATTTTGTTTTTGCTGTCATTACATATGGTGATCTTATCATTTTTATTCATACAGGTATGAACCACTGTCACATTTGCTTGGAAAGGAGTACTTTCTTCATGCTTATGGTCCGATTTATGCTCTCTCAGCAGATGTAGTTGCAAGCTTGGCTTCTATAAGAAACAACAGGCAGGTTTTCTTTCCATTCTATCAATGTGTCTTTGCTTTGGGCGTATTTTAAGTCATTTCTTTTCATTTTTATTTTTATTTGTAGTAGAATTTGGGAGTTCGGTACGAGTGAGACTTTGCTGGCAAAAGAGAGGTTTCTCAAAAATAGTCACCGTACATCAATACTTCTTCTGAGGACTGGAGACTGATTTAAACCCACCATTTGCCTTTTTAAGCGATTCAATTATGGGAACTTGGAATGCAGTATTCCACAAACTTATACTGCTGAATATTTTCTTGTTCCTTCCAGAGACCTGTGGCAGTTTTCTTTTCCTTTTTAGACTTGCCTAAGGTAGTTGCTTGTCTCCTCACCTGTTGTGCTATAAATGGTACAAGATGCTAGGCTCAACTATTAACTTAAGCTCTCATATTGAGGCAGTCGATCATCTGTTTTGCTTGAGCTTAGATGGAGCTAGACTTTTTGAATGAAAAGCCAGATGATACTTCTTTAGATGCCTTTTAAGGAGGCGTCATTGCAATAATGGTTGGATGAGGACACTTGAATTGAACTTGAGGGCAGATGAATGGTATTTGTGGCAAACCATCAGAAATTTGGAATACCGTTGTTAGAATAAAAATTTGATTAATGGGACCAACAGATATTGGGTCAGAGCCATAAGATGTAGAATCATGATAATGGGAGTGGAGGAACATACAAGGATGTGTCTGGAATGACCCAACAAATGAACTCCTTTCTTAATAAAACTCTTTTAGGTTCTCTCCGAACATGCAAAGTATCCCATGGGTGTGTAGGCATGAGAACTCTAGAACAACAACATATCTTCTTCCTAATGAAGTTATTTAGGAGGGGTGGATTGAGGCACCGTCACTTGTGCCAACAGCTATCTTTGTTTTGGAATTGGAATAACTAGGTTTAATTACTTCAAATAAGCCAAAAGTGCCATTTCCTAATGAAGTTTTTTGGTGCTGTTTGGAAAGTGAATATATCTTAGCGTGCATCTGTCTGTTATTGTTGTGAATCTGCATGATGTGAGTTATTCTCTTTCCCCGGATTGCAAGTTGCACCATGTATACTTTCTCATATTTTGATTAGGTTGGAGACAGATGCCACATGTGGCAGTTCCTGGATCATCCTTTTGAAAATTGAGATGACCCTCCCACATGCTTCGGTGCCTATTCTTTCCTAACCATGAAGTGCAACCCAATAATCGAGCCTTAGTTTGAGGCAAGGCCCAAAACCCATTCTTGGGACGAAGATCTATTTGTTATCTATGACGTTAGTGCCAGTTATTATTTTGGTCCATTTTGCTCACATCAGGCATTGGCTTCAAACATGAGAATGAATTTAAGTGTCATGCTAATTGTTATATTTTAAGACACGGAGATTTTGTTACGGTATTTTGGCTTTGAATTCAGGAGAGGGGATGCAAAAATATGATGTGGAGGGAACATTTTGTTAGTAAAATTAGAACTGTTGATTACAGTTTGGATTTGGAACGTGTCTCGTGCGTTGAAGTATGATGTCATGGACTTATGTTGCATCATGTCATGTTAAATACCTAATAATATTTCTTTCGAAAAACATGACCCTTTCTTGTAACTCTAGTTTCATTCACGCATTCTTATTCCTACTATAACTAAAATATACTTATATACCATCTTAGTTTTGCTTTAGATAAACCTTAGACTTCAAAGTGCTTGATGTAGGACAATCCTATTTCAAATAAGTAAGAAAAAAGACATCATGTTCTATTTAAGAAAGAAGAACATAAAGAGATAAGATCAAGGATTGTCCTACATTAGTTCTCCTTTAAAGTTCTAAATAAAATATTCCATCCTCTTAGTATCATGACCTAAAACTTATGTTATCAACTAATAAAACGTGCCAAGTGACACTCATCTTAAATATGCCTTGTAGTCTCATCCATGACCAAAGCAAAAGGATGAGGATTTATGGTGGAACGTGATGCAAGCTTTTAGTAGGAAATATCTACTACCAACCCAACTAGATTCCATACCCTTGAAAGCTCCATCAAACACCTCCTTAAAAATAGTCATATTTCTTATAGATATCTCTATCTTCTGTAGCATCTAGTGTGGCATTCCCTGGTGGGCACCTATATATTTTTATAATATCGAATATCTCCTTTATTTTATAAATAGGCACTAAACTCGTCTCCATCCTCTACATCCTCTTCTTTTCCCTTGGCTAAGATATTCTGCAAATAGCGTTCTCCCTGTCCCTTTGTTTGATGTAACTTCCCATGTGGCTTACATCCTGGACCCTCAAATCACGCTCTCCTGTTTCATTAACTTGTACTTCTAAACTCCTCAGTCCTCACTGTTTTATTTTTGCAAGTTTTTTATGGTAAGTCGAGGACACATTATATTAAAATCATCATTTCTAATTTATCTTCTAATAATCTTCATAATAAAATAATTGATAAACCAAGCTAAGGGTTGAACATGGTTCGTCTTCATGGATTCTGTGGCTGCCAGAATAATAGATAAAGCAAGCTTAGCTGTGTTGGATCAAGTCTTTGCTATACTTATGCAGTCCAGCTATTCTGTTATAATGAACAGGCATTTTGATGGGCCAAATGGCCAATAATTGATGCTTCCTTGCCACTAAAACTGCTTACTGAGATTCATGCTAACGGCTTCTCTAAACCCCTTCTGTGAGCAAAATTTTGGGCCAGGGCTGTTGGGCAGTCTCACTGCTTTATTTTCCAAGATTCTTAATCACAAGGGTTTGAAGCGAGCGAGTGCATTCAAAAATGCGAATTGGAATTTTGTGATTCAATTTCTTCATTTATTTTGAAATGAATTGTTAATTATCAAGTGTTAAAAAAATTAGAAAGTTAATTGATGGATGTGATTCTATGGCTTCATATAATGTGTTCTTTTAATTTTAAATAATATATACTTTAGGCTGAATTCCATGTGCTTGAATGTCTAGTTTAGGGACATTAAGTTTTTTTCTTAAACTTAGAAATCATCAGTGTAGTTATTTTGCTTCCCCCAACATCTAATTGCTAGTTTCTCATTATCTCTGCTGAAAGTGATCGTGGAAATGATTCGGTAACTAGTTAGTTATGGAATGAAAACAATTACTTGTGAATTACTATGTCCATGTTATATTTTTTTAATGTCACTATGTCAGTGTCTACTTCTCTCAAAGTGTCTTCTTGCACTTTTAAGTTCAGAGACATTCCTCTTTAAACCCTAGACCCTTTCAGTTTTCATGGCTTTAAGCCTCTGATCTATATACTCAGTTTTGTTGGATGTACAGTTTCCGCATGTTCAGCAATGAGGACGTCACCATTGGTTCATGGATGCTTGCCATGAATGTCAATCATGAGGACAATCGGCAACTATGTGAACCAGACTGTACAACCACGTCTATTGCTGTGTGGGACATTCCCAAATGTTCAGGTATATCTCTTGTAGTAATCCTAGAATCTAAAGGAGGTTGATATTGGGTATAAAGCTTGATGTTCAGAAGAAAGAACCAGTAATGGATTTGTAAATCAAAATCTTTGAACAACTTGCTCTTCAATATATATATCATTAGTTTGTGTGTTTTTTTTTTGACTTATCACTTATTTCAAATAGATAAATAGATCGCCAAAAAGAAGAAGAAAAATCCCATTTTTTGACCTATCACTGATTTCAAATAGATAAATGGATCATAGAAAAGAAGAAAGAAATCCTCCTTTTTTTTTTTCATGAGATGTAATGAGCCTATCCTCCCTGCTTTATTCATATTTAAAAAAACTTAATCTAATGCAAAATCAAAATACTCGGCTAATGCTAAGAACAGAAGATTTATCTGGCAAGAAAATGAATTAAATACTTAAATAAGCATGTAATCTTGGCCGCTCTTCCTTAGGATCTCAGGGTCAACCTAATAATCATGGTAATGTTGATGCTTTCCAGGACTATGCAACCCTGAGAAGAAGATGTTGGAGCTTCATGCTAAAGACATTTGTTCGAAAAGCTCAACTCTACCTTCTGAAGACACTGATTAGCACTCTTGGCTGCCTCTGTCCAGACTCAAAAATTTTAACAGATAGTTTTGTAAGAGAGATTTCACCGACAGTCAGAAATTGCCCCCTGCAGTATATATTACACAGTTCCCTTTTTTCGTTGTACTCTATTTTTTCTCATCTACAGTTTTCCGGGTGAAATTGGCAGTATTTGATTTTGAATCTCACAAGAAAATTAGAATTTTGACTTTAGAGAAAATGACAGGAGTTGATGGAATTATTAGTTCTTTCTGTGGACGTCGATTCTCATTCTTTATAACAGACTGCATTCTTTGATATTCTTGACACAGGTTCAATAAACATCTCGATACTTCTATGATTCTGTTTCCCTAGAATAAAGCTATTTCAGTTTTATGCTTATATATTTTTTTGAGTAGTATCAACTGTCAAAGATTTTCTCCTTGTGTGCCTTCAGACAGATGCAGTATTCAAGTGCTAGTCCCGTAGTTCTCTGATTGCTAAAAATTATGTGTTGTTGTGCATCTTGAAAAGTTCTCATCTTCTTTTAGTGATTATTTTTGCAGGTCGATAGAAAATGCATGTTTGCTACATAGTATCAGGTAGTAAATAAAATTTTAGCTTATTTTGTAATAAGACGAGGGATTGCATGATTAAAGGGGCAATTGAACTTGTGTGACTCATAAGATTAGGGATTGCATCATTACAAGGTTAGCAAATCCCATGAACTCAAGTTTGATTGGGCTTTTCTATAAAATCTCAATTTATTTGGAGAAAGGTGGAGTTGAAGTCAAGTTTTTGCTTTAATGGCTACCTTTATTTTTAAGGGATTGGCTGGCTGGTGATTTCCACAATGAATGCTAATCAAGTTTATGGTCTATTGGAGTTGGTTTTGTTAGAGAGCTGTAAAGTATTTGGCCCACTCATAACAATCTTATTATTCTTCGTTTCTTCTTATTTCTTTTTGTATTTTGGGTAGGTGAGTGAGTGGAGTGGGTGCGTGGGGCCTGACTTTCTACGGAAAGAATGTCACGAGTCGAGGGATAGAGAGATTTATGTCATTCTCAACCAAGGTCGAAAATATTGAAAAAAATCAATTGTTGACAATCATAATGTAAGATTTGTTTTCCATAACGCGAATTAATCTTTTTATTTACACATTTGTACGAGTTTTGAATTGAAGAATATATTGCGACACAAAAGTTATTTCATTAAGATTGTGATACTTTCTAGTTTTTATTGCCCACATAAATTGTGATTAATAAGTATACCATACATCGAGTAAGTGACCAAAAAAAAAGGAGCGATGAATATACGATCCGTTTGTTGAGTTTGAATTTTCTTTACTTAAAAAAGCAGAGAATTATGTTTTCTCTAAATTTTGATAAAACTATGCTTTGATCAATAAGCTGGAATCTTTTTTGTACTTTTTATAGATTTCTTGAATGATTTTTTCATAGGAATTTTTGCGGTCTAGACTTTTAGCACTATATGACATTCTATATCAATTTATTGATCTTGTCTTTATTCCCGTTATGTCGTATATTTGTTACGTCTCAATCTCTACGAATTCATCTTTTTTGATAGATTGATTAGCTTCGTGATGATAAATTGATGATCAATTGCGATAGACATCACAAATTAAATTGTACTCTCAAACTTGCCATTTTCTTCTAAAATGAAAATAATTGTACTTTCAAACTTGCTTTTATGCCCCTACTAAATATTTGGACACAAGGGCGGACCTAGGGGCACTGGGGCAAGTGCTCCCAACTTTTGAGATTTTTTTTTAATATGTAAAATCGTGTTTAGTATCGACTGAACTCTAAATTTTAATTTAAATCAAAGTTAACAATTAATTTTAATAACATATTTCATGGAATCCATAACAGTTTAATTTTTATCAAAATTTACTAAAAATTTGATTTTAATCTCCACAAAACATGGACAAAATCACAATAAATTTGAATTTTGATAACATGTTAATTTTAAAAAATTTTCGACGATCGTACACTAATCGAATCTATAAATTGAATGGACAAAATCACAATAAATTTGAATTTCGATAACATGCTAATTTTAAAAATTCTCCGACGATCGTCCGCTAATCGAATTTACAAATTGCTTATGTCATCTCAAAACTTATTTCGAAAACTATATTATGGGCATATCGAATAGTTTAAGCAGATATCGAAAAGAGTTAAAAATACATTAAACGTAAGTCTTAAAAAAAGACGTCTAACTTGCATTTTTTTAAATTCAATTATTTAATTAACATTTATTATTTTTGCGATACAAATTTTTTAATGTAATTTTCATCATTTTATTAGGAAATTTTATATGGAATATGACATAAAAAATTTTCGAAATTTTACAACCGAAAAAGTCATATCCCATGTAAATTTTCGGTGTAAAATTAAATGGGGTATGATTTTTTTGGACGTAAATTTTCGATTGTAAAGTTTCTCCCAACTTCTTTGCAAATTCGATTGTGCCCCCTAACTTTTAAGTTCTGCGTCCGCCCCTGTTTGGACATCCTTGCTTGAATGCATGTCTCTTCGATATCACTTTCTCAATAGAGTTTTTACATTGAATTAAACACGACTGCGTATGATATAATTTTAGAAAACGAGGCTAAAACAGATGGTGAGTTTAATCAACACTTTCTAGCTTGATTGTGTCACTTTGTAGCACAATCCACTGATTGCCCATAAAATTGATAAAACAATTTGGACAATCCGTAAGCAGCCATAGTGTTCGAGTGTCGAATATTTGAGTGCCTAACCCACCACCACAAACCACCAACATCCACCGCCCCACTACCACCAACCCCATTGCTCTTACCATTGTTAAAATCTGAACAATGTAATATTAAAATACATTAAAAATATTTAAAAATCAAGTGGGTGATGTCTAACTATCCAAATAACATGAAATTAAGAAAAAAAAAATATTGCAAGTACGTTGCTCTCGAAATAAAATAATTGTAATATCGACGCATATAATATTATTTTATTAAAAAAATTGTGAATAAAAAGAAATGAGAGAAAAATACATTAAAATTAAAATGAGTCCAAACATGGCTAAATAATTTTGTCAATTAAGAGTGTGTATGGGAGAAATTTTTGTGGGATTTTAATCAAAATTATAGCTTTTAAAGTCAACCCGTGAGCTCCACCTGTGAGAGGGAAGGTCAAAAAAGATGGTTGATTTGATAGTTAGCGACTAGATTTTTGATTAAAATTTCTCCCAAACAGGGCCTTAGTATTATTATTGTTAGCTGATTTGATAGTTAACGACTAGACTTTTGATTAAAATCCTGATTAAAATTTCTCCCAAACAGGGCCTAAATATTGGGTGGCAATAATTTGACAACTCAAAAATTTTGTGTCCACGTGTCAAGCCTAGATAAATACAGATCACCTTAAGATTCCACCTAAAGGCAGAGATCACTGATGACATGGAAGGTACGGGGAGGGTCAGACGGTAATCATTCCACGCCTCTGCCACCAAGGATGATAGCTACTTATCTGATTACCTTACAGTGCCGTTATAATTAACGGACTATTCGTGGTAACGTTGTTTACTTCTTCCCGTCAAAATTCTCAAGGTTTCTTGAATGGGCCAGCTGGCAGGGAACTAGACAAGCACATGGCCAACTACTTCTGTCCGGACAAAATGACTCGAACTTCCTAAACTACCCTCTGCCTGTACCACATTCACTGATGACATTTTTTTACGTCATTTTCTAGAGGATATCGAAGTGGCGTACCCTTATGGGATTACCAAACATTGTCCGATTCAGTTTAAAATTATAAACAAATATTTTATAGGATTGACAATTTTTAATCACATATTTTATCAAAATGTACTAAAAATTCGATTCTTAACTAAACCAAACAGAGCTTTGTATTGAAGCACTTTCATTCGGAGAGCAGTTAGGGGTACTAAAGGAAACTAAACTTCGTGGAGAATTTAGGGGTAGAGACATGTTATGTGTACACATAGGGGTTGACATAATGTGGTTGAAGTGGGACCAATGCTACAGTAGCTCGAACCCCACCTCACTCACATTATGTCATCCCTATGGATCAATCTATGTGTACATAGATTGATCATTGGGGGTATATTGGGAATTTCGACCTGCCTATAAAATCTAGTGTTAATTCCTGGTTGTATAATGTATAAGAATCTAGAAAGTACGGGAATCTAGTGACGTGGGGGTCTAGAAAAAATTTCTCATTATAGGTAGAATGATCTTGCGTTTTATGTTTATGAAACACCACCCAATAAAAGTGGGACAGTCTGTCATGTATAGTCCCATTTTGAAAGAAAAAGCATATTTTTTGAATAATTTTTTAAGAATGTATTATTAAAAATAAGAAACTTTTTTCAATTTACATGTAATATTATTTTATTGAAAAATGTATTATTAAAAATAAATTTTGAAAATATTATTTTATTAAAAAATGTATAATTAAAAATAAGAAACTTTTTTCAATTTACATGTAACATTTTTTTATATACTTATTTTTAATTACATATTCACAGAGTAAAATATTATGTACGTATACTCAAAATTTTTTCAGACTTGTTAATCACACCTTCTCCAAAATTTCACTATTCAAAACGTTATTTTTATCAAATAATGACCATCAAACAGCGGCTTAAAAATATCCATGCTAATTTCCACTTATCTTTTAGGACGGATGACTTAACGTATTGAAAAATAAAACACTATTTGCCCAACAATTCATATTACACAAAAATCGAAAATTTAATCAATATTTTAGTAGAAAACAATAGCTCGATTATTTATAAGAAAAAAACTCGAAAATGAGTAAATTTATGTATAGTTGACTAAATTATAATCTCAGGCGATCATGATTTATTAATAATACTTTCAAAATGCATTTTTATGGATAGTGAAAATCATAGAGCATCATTAATTGTCTTTGACTGTCGATTAAATATTTACCAACATAATTATGGATAATCTCGACTTTTTAAATTTACGAAAGATTGATTTTAACAAAATTCTCGTAATCAAATGAATAGTCGAAGCCATAAATTGAATTTTTATACCAACACACGAGTAGAATTTCAACGACACACGCAAATAAATCAAAACAAAAATAAACGTTTGAAAATTCTAAACCACTTTTAGAATTTTCAAATGTCTTTTGACATTTTGGACACAAATGTATTTGTAGTAAAACCTAATAGCTCAATTATTTAAAAGCGAACATGACGCGCAATAAGATAATTTTAAAACCGCATGTTTATTTAACGAAAATGATCATTTTCGCAATGAAAGATTGATATGAGGGTGCACCACCAAAATTGAAGCAAATGTGGTAAAAGCGAACACGACGTGCAATAAGTTAATTTTATGCATCGTTAAGTACGATACAATATCGTTGTATCGCTGTTTTATTGATGATATTTTTAAAATGAACGACAGGATAATAAAAATCTTAAAGCATGGTATATTTTATTCAAGTATTATTAATTATCTTCGAGTCCTGATCGAATTTCATTAGTATCCTAAAAATATCTGAAATTAAATATTTAATGAATACAAACGTTTTTTTTAGCATAATCTTGAACAATCTCAACTTTTTTAAAATTTTCGATTGCACAATATCCATGTAACTCGGGTCGGGTCAAAGTAGAACCCGAATTCTAACACCTTATAAAATCGCTTTTTTCACGTATATATTACGATCTCTTCTAGTTCAATTTTTATGGTTCCATTCTTGCAAGCAAAGAATCCATTTTTTTTTTAAAGGAAATCTCTACCCGCTTTTCAAACGTCTTTTGACAATTTGGAGTCCGGACACAAAAGTATTAATAATAGTAAATTATTATTATTTTTTTCGATATATTTCAATACCTATCTAACATATATAATTATTTGATATTTGCCCAACTTAAGCCAAAGTTGAAAGCGGAAATATTATGTCTTTGACATAAATATTTAGGATTATGCTACATATACCGAATTTTTTTATCGAATCTTTTACCTACTATTCACAATGGGGATGGAGACCACATTGTCGAAATTTTTAAATACACGCGAGCCCAGCATATTACGTGAGAGAGAGTAATCCATTATGTACAAATGGATTAACCCAAATATTTATGATGGTAATTTCGAATAATCTTGACCTTTTAAATTACCGTTTATAATCATACCTAATTTCTAACAACTTACACGCGCCTCGGTCACCTCTATATTACGAACTCGTCTAATAGAATTTTGATGCTTCTATTCTTGCAAGCAAATAAACCAAAACAAAAACATTAGTACCACTTTTCATATGTCTTTTGACATTTAGGACACAATTTTTCGCTAAGAAAACAAATTCCAAGAAACCCTAATTTCGTAAAACTTTTCCCGAATGTACCTTTGACATTCATTTTATGTCATTCTATACCATTTTATAAGTGTGTATTTGGGATACGATATTAAACAAACTTAAAAATAACGTAGTAAATTAAATTTTAATTATTTTTAACACCGTCCAAATTCCAATCCAACTTATCAGAAAATTTTCCTAATGAAGGATTATGCCAAACATTGCACAGTCCTTGTGTGTCCCAAGATTTCTTCAACCAAACAAGAAATACCCATTAAGAAAAATTACAGAGAGAAAATAAATAGAAAGCGAAAATAAGTAGATAGAGAAAATAATTGAAAAAAGAGAGGGAGTAAATGGAGAGAGAGAGAGCTGTCTCGTGAAGCCAGAGTAAGTGAAGGGGAAAGAATGCTCTTTTCTTTTCCATTGTACTCATCTTCTTCTTCCAGACACAATCTCTCTCTACACTACATACCTTCTTCTCTGTATAAACATTACTCTCTCTGTAACGAACATCCGTTTCTCTCTCTACCATTCACATTCATTCTTTCCTTCTACCTTTTAAATCACGGGATCCCCATCAATTCTTTTTTTTTTCCCCCTTCTATCCCTTTTAATGTTTTTCTTCGAAGTTTCAATCGGTCTCTCTCCATTTTTGCTTCACATTGGTCAGATACACTAAGGAAAACTGAAAAAAAACCCAATCCAGAGAGTGAAAAGTGAAAAAAACAGATTTTTTTTCCGTGTATATATACATACTACATACAGAAGATTGTATTGAGGAAGAGAGCAAGGGGGGGAGTGCGTGAAAATGTCGCATCAGGGGAAACCTATGTCGGAACTAGGGTTACAAACGCTGTCGGATCGGTTAAGGAATACGCTAAGTTACGGCGAAGAAGGTAACGGTGTCAACGTTAATAAGCCGGACTTTCGGGAACTCGATCTGGGATCGCCAGTTTCGCCGCTGCGGACTCGGGCTGGTGGACTCACTACCACCACCGCCACTACAGCAACCAGCAGTAGTTCCAGTTCCTCCGGATCGGTGTCGGGCCGCAGCACTGCGGGGGTCCACTTGAATCCTCCGAGAAAATCCGATTCCAACAATACCAGTCATTCCGGCGAGCTTTCGAGCTGTTCCGTGGAGAGTTCCCCATCAGCGACACGTAACTTCAAAGCGGGCCATAACCGCACCGATTCGGGCGGTAGTCACCAGCTAATTTACGCCGGCAGTGGCTCTGTAAACTCTCCGGGGGCCAATGTGCTTCCCACAGGGAACATTTGCCCTTCCGGCAGGATCTTGAAAACCGGCATGTCCAGTCGGTCAACTAAGACCGACGTTTTGGGGTCCGGGACGGGTAATTACGGCCATGGCAGCATAATGCGGGGTGGTCCTACGTCAAAGCCCTGTGTGATGACGGATAACGGACCCATAAATTACTCAAGAGGACTAATGGTTGGTGGAGAGTCAGTGAAGAGAACAGGAACGTGCAGTAATAATGATCCAGAGGAGTTGAAGAGAATGGGGAATGAGAATTACAGGAGGGGCAATTTTGCAGAGGCTTTAAGCTTTTACAGTAAGGCAATTGCGATATCCCCAGGCAATGCCCCGTACCATTTTAATCGAGCATCTGCTTTGATGGGGCTGAGGCAATTGGCCGAGGCTGTTCGGGAATGCGAAGAGGCCATTAGGTTGGATCCAGGGTACATTAGGGCGCATCATCGGCTAGGATCTTTTCTACTTAGGTGAGCCCTTGAAGAAAGTTCAAATCTTTGCTTGTTAACTATTCAGGCTTTCAGTATAGGTGTGAAATTAATTTTGTTTCTTAGTTGTGTTTTAGAATGTGGTGATTGTGATTTACATCGGTGAAAAGGGTTTTTTGATTTGTAATATGGGGTATTTTTTTCGTTAATTTGATTATTTTGTGAATTTTGATTGGTTTAGTGTAGGGGGTTGAATGTGCTATAACTGGTTCATTTTATATTTTTGCTGTTTGGTTTTAACCGTCCCTGTTATGTATTCTCTTTGGATCTCATTGCGATAGGGCTGTCATCGTTCTTTTTCTTGGACTAGTGTATGTTTTCCTTCTCTGTTATTGTGGCTCCAACTGCGTAGGCTGGAGGGCTATACAAATTTTCTCTGGTAATAGGCGACGTTTTAGGATTGAATTAGTAGGATTGGCTGCCACGTTTTAGTTCTTAATTCTTAATAACATGGAATGTTGTTGTGCATTATTATTCGAATTCACTTGACGGTTCTAGGTAGTGGTCAATCGCGTTCTTAATAAAATTGTTAAGGAAATCTCGAGCTTGTGAAATGATATCCATCTCCATGTGGTATAGATGGTTTTTTCCTTTTATGTATTAGATTACTGGAATTCCCATTTTTTATTGTCCACTTCACATTAAGCAATCTAATTCCTCTAAGGAATGCAGTTTAGGACAGGTTGAGAATGCCAGGAAGCACCTCTGTTACCCAGGATATCAGCCTGATGCAGTCGAGTTGCAGAAGTTGCAAACAGTGGAGAAGCATCTAAACAAGTGCACCGATGCCCGGAGAGTTGGTGATTGGATAAATACATTGAGGGAAGTTGATGCTGCCATTGCTTCTGGTGCCGATGCCTCGCCACAGGTTAGTACTTGCTCTACTCAATTGTTGAACTAGAGCTTTTTTGGCTAAGCTTTAAAAAATATAATGTTTTCTAAGTTAATAAGTATTGAAAATTATAAGTTAATTTTAAAAATAGGTAATATTTTTCTTTGAAAAAGGAAAAAAAGTAGCATATCCTGAAGTTTTTGGAAACTAAAGTTTGTTTTAGGTAACTTTACGTTTGCGAAGCTTAGCCAAAATGCTTCTAATGATTAGAATGGGAAAGGAAAGGGCTGTTACTGAACTGGTTGAATATGAAATGATAGCTTTGTGCATGTAGAGCAGAAGCTCTCTTGAAGCTCCAGCGACTAGATGATGCTTTTTTAGCAATGTCTAACATTCCTAAATTTGAACCGTCTACCGGGAAGATTTTCGGGATGCATTTTGAAGCATATATATTCTCTGTCAGTGCCCAAATTGAGTTGGCAAGAGGAAGGTTAGTTCAGAAATTTTGCACTCCATCAGACAATAGGAAGTAAAGATTCAGAGTATGAGATGTATGATGAATACATGCAGGTTTGAAAATGCACTTACAGCTATCGAGAAAGCGGGAAAGCTTGACCCACGTAATGTTGAAATCTTGGTTATGCTCAATAATGTGAGGTTGGTGGGCCGAGCACGTGCTCGTGGGAATGATCTCTTCAAGTCAGAAAGGTTTACTGAAGCCTGTTCGGCTTATGGGGAAGGGCTTAGGCTTGATCCTTTTAATTCCATTCTTTACTGCAATAGAGCGGCTTGTTGGTTCAAGCTTGGACAGTGGCAACTGTCAGTGGATGACTGCAACCAAGCTCTCTGTATTCAGCCTAATTACATTAAAGCTCTTCTTCGAAGGGCTGCCTCAAACTTCAAGGTGAGATGCTTAAAAGTAGTACATAATTTAAAATTTTCCACCAAGATTTCTATAGAATGTGCAACCTTGATCATATTTGAAATTCAACTTTAATCTAATTGCACATTGTTGATTACAGCTTGAACGGTGGGATGAAGCTGTAAGAGATTATGAGCGTTTGAGAAAGGAACTCCCCAGTGACAACGAGGTTGCCGAATCTTTATTTCATGCGCAAGTTGCACTGAAGAAATCACGTGGAGAAGAGGTTTATAATTTGAAATTTGGTGGTGAAGTGGAGTCAGTTTCAGGGCTTGAGCAGTTTCAAGCTGCAATCGCTTCTCCTAGTAAGCATGTTCAATTTTTTGCCTTGTGCTCGTTCTTAGTGTATCAAATTATTCATAGTTGAAAAATGCAGGTGCATCTGTCGTCCATTTTAAAGCGGCATCCAACTTACAATGCAAGCAGATCTCTCCATTCTTGGACACATTATGCACCCGATATCCATCCATAAATTTTCTTAAGGTAATTGATGTAATTCATTATGTTCCTTACCATTCATTTTCAATAGTTGTTGTTTTTCCTTTCAAATAGTTGTGGATTTGTGCTTTGCCCGTTCCTTTATTAGATCATATTTGGCTAAGCCTTAAAAAGGTATAACTACTTTTCTGAAAGTAAGTAAAGGCTTACCATTAAAAAAAATGTAAGCGGACTGACAGACAGGTCGTAATTAGATAAATAATCTCAAGTGTCTATTTGTCTTCAATTGTAGGTGGATGTAGAAGAGAGTCCTGGCATTGCACGTGTCGAGCATGTTAACATTGTGCCAACGTTCAAGATATACAGAAAGGGCAGCCGAGTGAAGGAAATGGTCTGTCCAAGTCCAGAGGTATTGGAGTCTTCGGTACGACATTATAGTATTTAGATCTTGGTCATACTATCCTTCTCTATCTTCATGTCACGCACATTCCTGAAACCCCAGCTTATTGGAACAACCTTTAGTCCCACCGTACGAGGATTATTAGTTAACTGTGGCATAATCGGAAACTACACAATAATCCCCCAACCATATTTGCCAAATGCCTGTGAAATGCAAACACATAGCATAGTTCCTTTTTGCTATTTCTGCTTATTCTTTTGTTTATAATTGCTGTTCGGTTCCATCCTCTTCCATTATTCAATCTTTTCAGACCTTATTTCCCACCCTTTTCGAGTAGGTCGACCTCTTTCTAGTATATCATCATTCGATAAAAGATTAATTCGAAATATATTCACATTTATTCGAGTGGGCTCTTGGCTAAATTTAGTGGGAGGATAGAGAGAAATCACTTTCTGGTTGGATGGCTTTTAAGATGGGATCTGTACATGTATATATATGATGATATATATGCACGACATTGGTGGCCCATTGAAGGGAATGAATTTCTAGTGGTGTTACTTATTGGGTTAGTGATAGAAGAATGAACATGAAATCATTGATATTGATGTTTCTTTGCTCAACATTGAATTAATAAAAATTTCTCAGATTTTTTCATCATTGTTCAGTACAGTTCCAAAATATTATGAGACTCTTCTATGAATGAAATTATACCCATTATTAAAAAATGGGTAGTGATTTAGTCTATGTTACTAGGTTTCGATTATTCTTTATGCTTGTCAGCAGAAAAGGGTTGCCCTGAAAAGGCTTATTCTTTTTCATTGGCTCTAAACAAATGCTCGAAAGAGTTTCGTTAAGAAAGTATAGGATCTCGAATGCCAGATTGGTACGTTGAATTGGACAGAACTTTATCATAGAAAGTATAGGATCTCGAATGCCAGACTGGTACGTTGAATTGGACATAACTTTATCATGTTCAGTCCATGTTCTCTAATTCAGTGTACCAAACGTGCCCTACATTTTCATTTGCCGATTTAATAAAGGATAGAAGATAACACCTCATCCATTTGATAATATATGCAATATTACAATGTCTGGATGTTGATGGCTTCCATGTTTAATAGGCATTTAACCTGCCATCTTTAATAAATTACACATTATGATTGTTATAATGGAGTATTTTAGCATATACTCACAGGTTGGGTGTATATATTACATTGTTTATGGAGATGAAAAATTGAATTAGTTGTTCAAATAATTGCTCAATAATGCAAGTGGAGAGGCCAAGTCAAAAGCCCTTTTCTTGAGGGTTTGTCTGCTTTGTATAATATAAATCACATGTAAGCATTAAAGTTTGCTAACTTCCACAGTCTCCCCCCACCCCACCCCACCACACCCCAACCCAACCCATCTCATCCCAGTGTAAAAGAGCTATTAAAAGTCGGTGTAAAACAGTTTTGCCTTCGAGAAATGCGACTCTGTCATTTGGCCGGCATGATTGTCTACTGTTTTAATGAATTTTCTGTGTTCAGTCTTTCGTCTATTTCTTTGACTTTAACATTAGAATCTTTAGCACCAATACACACTTGCGTTCACGCGTGACAAGACAATATGATATTGTCCAGTAGCATGCATTAGCATACCTTCTTGTTTTCATATGTTTTACAATCAGCTCAACTTGAATTGACCTTACTAGTACAGCAAAATCTCTATAAAATAATAATGTTGGGATCGAGGAAATTTATTATTTTAGAGGAGTTATTAATTTATCGATAATTGAACAATTATTAATTTAGAGTATTTTATATTTTTATAATTTGTATTATATTTTACCATAATACATGTAGTAAATTTAAATAAAAAGAATATTGAATGTCGTGAAATTTAAAATTTAATTGGTAAACATACGTAAAGGCACAAGCATGCATACATTCAAGAGGAAATATTAATGTACATACAAATTATTATCTTATGTATTTAGCGGGATTATTAATTTAGTACACCGACTCAATTCATGATAGAAGAATTTTATTATTTAAGCAGTATTATTAATTTATTGAGGTTTTAATGTATTTAAACCCATTTTTGTTCAAATAAAGACGGTAGTGAAGTTTCTAATTCAATCGATTAGAATACCACCTGCGAGTTTTGAGTTCCGAGCAGTGAAGGTGGGGAGCATGGACTCTGGAGGGAATTTAAATTTTTATTTGGTTTGGTTTGAGAGATCTGAAGCTGGAAAGAGGAGGGAACTCAAAAGAAACATAGGATTCTTACAGTACTTAATGGTACTGCAGATTCTGAGGAAACTGATAATAAAAATTATTAATGTTGAACAGTACTTAATGCTTCATTATTGTTTTCTCCTGTACAAGCAGATTTACAGGCTAGCAACACATGGCTGTG